CCCTCAAAGAAGGCAGGATGTCAGGCTGTATGGGTTGTTTTCACATGGAAAATCCTACTGGAAATTCCCACCGTTCACTCCCTTGACTTTACCTAAAGATATTTTATATTGCAGCTAATTCGGCAAAGGAATGTTGTGCTTAAAAAATCAAATGCCAAAGCTTCACAGCATTAAGACATGCTCTCAGTGTGACTGGGGAGAAACTTCTCAGGCTATTTTCAACTGCTCTTTGGTGGTTTGGCATCAAAGTTACTATGTGCACCTTAGTGCAGGCAGAAGAGGAGCGTTGGACCATAAGGACCATTAATCAGCTGATGTGAAGGAGCACAGCTGTACTGAAGTCAAAGGAGTAAAGCCTATTTGCACCAACTGCACCATCTCTGAGCACTAAGAGGATTCTTACCTTCTCCAAGTAAGTGTAGCTCCATGATTTGCCATCAGCAAAGATTCTGGATGTAATTCTGCCAGACTGATCATACTCCATCCTTTCTGACATTGTGCCCCTCTGAATCCCTGCAATGTGTCCTCCTGGGGAATAGGTGACATTGACCCCGTTCAGTCTGCTGCTCGGTGACCAGAGACTGGGCCTCCCTGCCTGGTCGTAGAGGATGCGGAGCGTGAACTTGCGGTGGTCATCATAGATTTTCTCTGTCCTTGTCACACGATCAAAGTCGAGGGACAGCAGGTTTCTGTTGTGAACCTACAGGAAAGAGATGGAAAATTACAAAGCCGGAAACCGTTTAAGTTACAAAGACTAGCCTTGGTTCACCAAACACCTTTTTAGACCACATTGGAGAGTATCCAGCTGTTCATTGCCTCTGGATAAGAGGCAATTTTCAAAGCAAAGAGTTGTCCTAACGTTGCTTCTGTTGACTTCAGCGAGGAGAGAGGCAGAAAAACAGGGTACTTTTGAAACATCATCACGGTGAAGGAATATTGCCCATATCCCAAACCTAGGCTTAGGATTGCTACAGCTGATGTGATTATAGACCTACAGAAGATGAAATGACAACTTGTTGTGGTGAATATTTACAGTATTTACAGGCTTATCAAACCTAGGATATATAGTCTTTTGCTTTCATGCACATCAAAAAATTATACTTGTAGAAAAAAGATGGATGTTGTGTGAACATAGTGGAAAGCAGAGCTTTTCCCTGAGTTTACTGAATCTACTGCATGCACTGGGGGTTAAGGCTTTCCCCTGAGATGAAACATGGAGGCCTTGACCACTGTAGATGTTACACAGAGCAGGAACTTTTCTGTGAGAGCTGGAGTTTTAGCTTCATTGTCCTGGGGTTATTCGGAGTTGCATAATTACACTCCTGTTACCTCCACTGCCTCTGCATTTCCAAAGATCAAAGGTATCTACTTCAAAGGTAGGAGCAGGAATACATTTTGATTCAGGGATTGTAGTGCACAGCAATACAAAAAGGAGCTGATAATACAACTCATGTTTAGCCGCATGTGCAAGGAGCCTTACAAAGCCACATCATCACAGTAGCAAAGTACTGAGCAAAGATGAGAAACCCACATTCCCAGTATGAGCTTGCCAGTGAAGACAGCTTTCTCCATCCCACCGCTTTCAAACCTCTTTCAGCTGGTGAACCCCTCTTTTCTAGAAGGGTGCAGATTCTTCTGGGATGAATTTCAAACTCGAAACAGCTGGCTTGGTTTTCAGTTCCCTTCAGCTGTAGTCAATGAACCAGGGTTTGCAGGTTGCTGCAAGGCCTTCAGACTGCAAGTTAAACATACTGCCTCATCCTGCTCTGGGTAAAGCTGACACTCTTGACCTAAGCACTGTTCTCAGCGCTGGTCCAGCTTTGATCTTTGTCCTTACTTTAGGGTGTATGACTGAATTCCCACTATATTTTGAGGAATGTGGGAGCATCTGAGAGCTAAACAGCAAGAGGAAGGATGTGGTAGAGCCAATGGAGAGGGGGGTCCTCAGCTCAGCCCTAGAGGAATGGGAGAGGGAAAGGCAGGACCGCTGCAGTGCTTTTGCGCTGCGTGGGCAGACGTCTGTGCTGAAACCTGGGGAACGGGGGCACTACAAAATCAGAAGTCAAAAGAAGGCATCTCAGGAGCTGGGGTCAGAAGAGGCAAAAGCACGGCTGAGAAAATGTGGAAGCAAGCTGAGGGTGTGTGTGGCCAGCCAAGAGAGAAGGAATCGGTGGTGTGACCTAAGTGTGAAGATGATGTAAGAGGAGGCAAGTGCATAAATGATTTTCAACTTATGAATAACAATGGTACAAGGCAGGTATGGCTTGAGGAAACAAATGGTGTGGAAAGGTAGATAATGCTCCAATTAAATGTGTGCAAAATAGAATGTAAATGGGCAATGGGAGAAAGAGGGAATCAGGCAACAACCCACTCTAACAGGCAAGCTGGGAAATAATTAAAAAGGTATCAAAACTCTAAGTACAGATGCACACATGTAACTAACAGAGCAATTTTATATCTCATAGGTGCTTGCTGCTATAAATAGAGAAACAGAAGTGGCAATCGCTTGCAAAAAAAAAAAAAAAAAAGCAAAGCAGGAAGAAATCACATCTCTGCCTTTCATCTATTCACGGAGGAGCAGCTCCAGCTCGGCAGCTGCAGCTTCTTCTGCTACTGGTCTCTGCCAAGAGAGCTGGAAAGAGTTCTTCCAGGGCTGGGACAGTAATCCAGGCTGAAAGTGGCCTCCCTGATCCGTACGCCAGCAGCAGTGCCATTCACTGTGCTGGAAGGACCAAATAACAGGTCCCAGGATAGCTCTTAAGCTCGGTCCAAATCTCTGCATCCCATTACTGGTGCCCTAAGTCATTCCACCCTCCCTATGCTCTGGCAAGCAATTTCTGCAGGACTAGTTGGAACCAGTCTCCCTTTTCATGATTTTTTTTTTTTTTTTTATGATTTGTTTTCTCCTGCTCTCTCGGTATAATCTTTCTTCTCTCCGAGAAGTGCTGCAGTGCCAACAGCCACTCCTCAAGGTGACGGGCAAAGTGAACCCTACCCTGCCAGATAGCCTCTGAACAGGGGCTAAATCTTTTTCATCCTTGTTCAAGGGCATGCCTTGAAGAGAAGTGAATTTTCTGCAGAAGCACTGACAGGGCTGCAGGCTTCAGTCCAATAACCGTGTTTTATGGTGAGCAGCTAAATAAGGTGCCATCCTACATCCAGGAGTCCTTATCCTGGAACAGGGTCTGAAAAGCTCCTGCAAAAAGCTTTTGCCCCTCACAGCATTTGACAAGTCTTGTGATCAGCACAGGACTGAGAAGGGTAAATTTAAATTCACAGTTCACTGTGGATTTAACCTCCTCTCTACAATGTGTGAGAGACTAAATTTAACCCCAAACTAATGTTCCGCCGTACTTTATTCAATCCCTTAGCTTGCTCTGGAAAAGCAAGAGCATAAACACACCACCATCTCTGATTTCTCCAGTGCTTCCTATGGAGCTCCTTTAGCTTAAATTATAATTAAAAACCATGCATTGATCTCCCTGGGAGCACACAAGCACAAAAAGGGAAGATTTCTCATGAAAACACTCTGGCAACCTTCAGCAGAGGAGGGCAAACAATACTTCTGCAATGAGAACTCCAGGAGCCAACAACATCCACGTGATAAACGGCTGCCTACAAAGCAATTTCCCCAGCGAATTGCTAAAAGCGTTGGGGTGGCCATATCCAGACCTCGACACCTTGCAGAAATTGTGGAGATGATGCTGGACTGTCCTCGTTAGTCAACACACCAGGAATGGTTAGCAGCATATCCAAAGAGACCTCTCCGGTCACACCGGTTCTGGGGAGTGTCTGGGACACCAGGTCTTGATGCCACCATTCACCTGCTGCCAAGGTCTTGGGAAAAAACAAGTGAATTACAACAGGAGTTTCCATGGTTAAATAAATGAAAGAGCTGAGCCAGCAGCTCCGTCTCTTTTGGCTGTCCTCTCTGCTCCACTGTCAGAGATTATTTTACATCCTTCTTTATTGAAAACCTCAGGTTTGTTTAAAAAAAAAAAAGGAAGCAGCTCTGTTCTTTGGAACAGAGTTTACCTAATGCTCTCACTGCAGAGGGAGGCTGTGTTGCTGTTGGCCAGTGATGGGTTGAATTCGTAGCCAGCAAATTTGCAGCAAATTTGCGCCCACTGCTGGGTGGGCGGATCAGAGCATCACAACTTTCCATGGGGTGTGTGGGATGGGAGAAGGGAAAGGGGCTGCTTTAACATATTTGTGCTGCTTTACTGCTGCCTGGCCAAGCGCAGAGCCAGGTCAGCATTGATGGGATGCGGGAAAAGGCGTCAGGGCTGGCCTTTTCCCTTCATCCATGCAGAAGTCCCTGCCCTGTGCCTGCAATATTCCTGCAATAAAGAAACACGTGCATTGTGTTATTTCTTAGGGATGGTCAAGGAAGCAGCTGTGAAACTGTCCTGATCGTGCTGGGAGATGGTTGAGCTCATGGAAACAGGTCATCAGTCCCCAGGAACACCCTGCAACCATGGGAGGAAGGGCCACAACTCATAAAATGTGGATCCATGTGATGGCAGCAGAAAGGATGGTGGTTTCAGGGGAACTCCCTCTTTTCTGGTGGTCAAATCCTGTTCTCCTCATCTCAAAGGCTTCATGGAGTGGTGGTGCAGCCTCTTTGGGCATGCTCTTTCCCCACAAGCACCATGCCTTTGCTGCTGTCTCATGCGAGCAGTGGGGTGAGGAGAGAGGGAAAGTGGTGATTTACTCACATATGGTAGAAAATGATAACATTTCCCAAAATGAACAAAAACATGTTGAACTTAACTTCCGTAATCTTCTCCCTTGCCAGTGAAAGCAGCAATTACTGGTACGAGGGAAGAGGAGAACATGACACACAGAATATGTTAAATGCCGGGCAATCCCCAGGGAAGCAATTAGCACCTTGCAGGTTTATGTCTTAAGGGTGCAGATGCTGCCATGCAGGTACAAACAGGCAGCTTAAAACTTCTTGTACACTCTCAGCTACTCTGAACCCTGAACAGAGTCATAACTGAGTCCTTCAACCGTGTAAGATGCCCTTTTGCTTCACTAGAAGGGTCCCGATAGGCTCAAAATGTGAATAAATGCTGGCAGATTTATGGGGACACAAGTAACCAGCCTGAAAACTCATTTTGCAAGTGTTTTTCCAACTGCAGTAAAATATAAAACAAAGACACATTCTGCGTTTGAATCTACTGTGAAAATTTTGGAAGATAAAACTGACACAGGCAGCTGAGCTGTGGCTAAATGAGTGGAAACTGCTTTGAACACCTAATAGCTGTGACACAGCTGCAGATTTCAGAAGGCTTTCTCCTTTCAGAAAAAGACCTGTCTGGTAATTTTGTTGGTTATTAAAATAAAATAAAATAAAAACCCCAAGACAAACCAAACACGAAGGGTGATGCCAACTGATCTGCAGATATAAAGCAGTTCCCAGTGAAGGAGCAGCTTCAGCTTTCACTACTGTTTGCAGTTTTTCTCCTGATAACAAAATATGAGGCTATTGACGCAAGGGGAAAAGAACAGAGGCAGCGTTAGGGAGGGTGAAGAGCAATACTTGACAAGTGTGAGCAAGGAGAGACGGGAAAAATCACACCAAGGTGGCAGGGGTCACGCAGCAGGGAATAGGGAAAGGTGAAGAGCAAGGACTGGGAAACACATACCCTGAAACCAAAGCATTAATATTTACTGCAAAGCTTAAGTGTGAATAAA